ATGACTTCTTAAATGAAGAGTTGATTGCTCAGACACATTTGTGTTAAGAATTTACAAAGATCCAATTTAATTCATGCTTTTCTATCCCTGCGTTCACATTTGAGATGAGACCAGGCAGCTTCAGAAACAGCCACTTTGACAAATGAGAGCAAATGGACTGGAGTGTGAGAGATGCAGAAACACAGCTGGAGAGAGAAGAGGATGTGGCCTTCAGCTCCCCTCCTGAAAGAGGAAGATGACACTTCTGAGGGTCAACGTGGAGACAAACTGATTCAATGAAGGGAAAGGTGAAACTTTTGCTTGAGACTTTTGCTAAAGAATAAAAGAACATCCTGCCATGCTTTATTTAATTAAATGTTACAAATGTACAAAAATAAATGATGTTTTGTTAAATTAATTGTAAATCTCGTATAGTGATGTTCTTACCAGGTAGTGAATAAGTCGTATTATAATGATATACTGAGTAACATTTAGGATTGTCACTGCATCTGCAGCGCTATTTGAAATGAAAAAGTGAGAAAATACACTTACTGTACAATCTACATAAAATACAATCTAAACAAGCTAATGTTGCAATGTTAACTTTTTCCATGACTTTAATACATTTGAAATGAAAAACAAGTAAAAATATAGCAGCAAGCAACAATTGCGGGGCCAAGCACTACAGAAGCACGCATCAGACCAACTGCAGAAATTATTAATTTAAGTAATTTTAGGATGATTTTAGTCAAACGGCTGAAAAATCATAAATACAGCCACTAGAAATATGATTTATTGGCTTATCACATTTGACCAATAGGTGGCGCTGTAATCAAATCAATGTGGTGTGTCCTGTGTGAGTTGAAATTGGCACACACAAAGTTTGGTGTCAATATCCCAAAGCATTGCAGAGATACAGCCTGAAGCGTCATTTTGGCATCAACGGTTTTGTCTATCAACACAAAATCCATAGATTTTTGTCAGCATGGTCTGAAGATGATATGATTAGATTTTGGTAAATATCAGACAAACTGTAGATTTTTCGAACTATTCAAAATAGTGAAAAAATCGTAAAATCGATTTTACGATTTTTAAATGTTAGTGTCCATTTGACTCGACATCAGCCAAGGATTCAGAGGATATATATATATATATATATATATATATTTTTTTTTTTTTAAACATGAGTGAAACTTTGGACATGTGGTGGTGCTAGAGAGTTTGAGTTAGAGACACCAAATTTGCTGTGGTTAATGATGAGACTGGCTTCTATCAGTGTGCCAAATCCCGCAAGTGGTTCTGCCATAGACTCAAGAGTGGAAGAAGAAGAAGAAAACCAGCAGTTTCAATAGTTTTTCAGTTTCAGTTTTCAGTGCTTGGCCCCTAAAAAAACGAATTAATTAAAAACAAATTATTTTTGAAATTATTTTTGTAGTGTACAATACAATATATTAACTGCTCAAGTAATTTAATTTATTTGCAAGTCTTTACAAGAAAGAAGGTAACATTAAATCAAGCAGTCAAGAAAGTTAAACTTTTCTCTTTAGACTTGCAATCATTCTCATGAAAAAGAGTTATGAGCTCAGCAAGGATCTATTTCCACTTTTAATGACCCTCCTTACTGATGTACTTACAGTTTTCATGGAACCAGAATAATCAGCTCTCTGTAAATGAATTACATCAAGATACTCGTTCAGTTTGCATTTGCATTGAATTATTATGATGGATGTTTAGCTTTGTTTAATATGCTGTTGATAAAAGAAAACAATTCCATACAAGAACTGAGGAGACTGACTTCCACTTTCTGTTTTACCAGGAGCTCGTTGTTGTTATTTTTTTAACCAATGGAAATGAGTGGTCATTTGTATCTAGGCAGATTTAAAGACTAAAGATTGTCTGCTGGCTTGGCCTTAGGCCTAGAGTGACTTAAATATAAATCAACTTAGGAAAACGCAGATTACAATGTCAGATATTATATTGTATCTTATATTATTCAATTATGTAAGTCCTAAATTCATACATGCAGTGGGAGTCAATATTTAGTCAAAGAAATCCACCTGAGTTACAGTAAGCACTAAAGCAGAAAACCCATCTTTGATATTTGACATTTCAGGATTTATATTTAAAACATTTTAAAAGTGCACAAGTACCAGTAACATGTTTGTTACCATTGCAAGGACTTGAATGGAGTCATCCAACTTCTTCAGACTCGTGAACTTTGAACTCACAGGAAACAGCAACACACACAAAGAATTAACTCACAAGCATTTCTTCACCTAGATAAAACATATACAAATGTATGATGTTTGCAGTGAAATGATTTTCACATTTATGTTTGGGATCATCCTCACAGATGCAGTGTAAATTGTGATAAAGAATTGAAAGTTATGGATATTTTGCCTGTATATGCTTGCTGTGATCGTTCATGCAAATGTTTCCCAATAGGGTGTGAACTGCTAAATAGGATCCTATTTTAAAATACTATACTATTTCTGTCGCCCTACACCAACCCTACACCTAAACCTACCCCTTACAGAAAACTACTTGAATTTCATAAAACACCATTTTGTATGTATTTTAAGCCTTTTGTTTTACAGGGACACAGTCATAAACCATGTTTACGTTGTAGTACCCATGTCATTATACACATTTGTGTCCTCATAATCCACACACACACACACCAAGAAAAACTGTTTATAAAAAATAAAAAGTATTATTAAAGTACAGTTATATAATAAAATCTCATAAACACAGCAGTTGTTCCTGTTGCTTGTCTTTATTAAAGGCCCAAACACCAAGGATTGTGAAAAAGTTGTGAAATTTGGTACATCTTAGATCATCACCAGGCACTTTCTGACCACGGTTTTCAATGTAACCCTTCAGCTACTTGATTTTATTATTATTATTATTAATCAGTTCATGCATTTGTAAGAACATACGACTCATTTTTTAATCTGCTTCATGTTTATTAAAGACATATTTTACATGAAAACTTTGATCAAGTGAAATACAAACAAACAAAATATATCAAATAAATTGTAAATTATGCTCATTGTGTCATGATTATGCAAGGACACTTAAGAATACAGTCAAGTAATACAATAACAACGATTTTCAAAAGTATACTAGTTTGACAGTAATCTGAAGTAAGAGGAAAATTGCATCTCCAGTTTATATAAAAAAATGAGAGTACAATATTAATTTGGAATACTTCAGATTAAGGTTTAACTATTTGTATATCCATAAATAAAAAAGCACACTATCCATAAACAAACCTGCAACTCTGTATTAGTTGTGTGTGAAATCTGAGTATAAAGGTTTTCACAAACAAATCATGATTCATCATTTAAAAAAACAATTCTTATAAACATTAACATCTTTAGAGAGCTTTAAAAAGAAATGTAGTTATGTATTATGGAGATGGTTTGGATGTGTTTTAAGTAAATTACTAAACTCTGGAATATGCTCACTCATTCAATACTCAAAATTAATTAACATTAGAATGAAATTAAGAAAAAGAAAACCCATGTATGTACGCATTTCCTTTTTTTGTACAAGTGCATTCAGTGACTCAAAAAGTGGTGTGACATCTGTAAAGTTCTGCTGAATTCTTTGAATATTCTCACGGAGTGATTTTTGTTTGACTGCATTGGTAACACTGGACGCAGCACCTGTTACACCACCTGCAACACCAACTCCAATCCCAACACCTGTAACAATCAGAGATGCTCCAAAAGTGAAAGGAGCTAAAATCGCACCAACCACTGCAGTGATTCCTCCTGCTGCTCCAATCACTGAACCTGCCAGAGTGCCTGCTGTGCAGTTATGATGAACCTCCTCTAGTGAAGCTGTTGTTTCTCCCCACTCTGTAACTAAGGCCTCAAAATGATCGTAGTGCTCATTGTAGTTCTCATCAAAGATCCTTAAGGACATCCTGAACCTTTGTTCCAGTGCTTCTGGAAATCTCCTGTTTCTGTTTACAGCAACTCTTAGGAATGGTTTTGCTAAAATCTCATCAGCTGAAGGTCTGGTCATAGGGCAACAGCTGAGCATTTCTTTGATTAAATTCTGTAGATCCTGTGAATACATATCTGAGAAGTGCAGGGGGTATTCCATATCGTGGGAGGCTTTTTGAAAGCGACGTTTTTTAATATCTGACTGTGAAGGAAAATAAAGAAAAAAAAAACAATATAAGGAAAATCTGGTTAACTCTGAGATTCAAGATCATAAAACACTTTGAAGGTGCTATATACACTTTTTACTTTTTTTTCCAACTATTTGTATTGTTTAATGATATTCCTATCAGTCAAGTCACATTTTCCGTTGCATTTTTTGGCAGTTGGGACAGCTGGACATGTTTGATATTGTATTTCATGTTGTTATTGAATGCTATTGTATAATTGAATATTATTAAATATTATTAACAAACAATAAAAATTAATTTAATAATATTCCAAAGCACACATTTGTTTCCGTCAAAGATGCAGTGCTGCTGTGCGATGTGAATATGGCATTAAGCAATATAAGTTGTATCGCAATTTAAATTTCATTTTGATGCATTATGCAACCCTACACTGGATCTGTGTGACGGTAAAACAAACAGCAGTTGAAAGGGTTTTGTTATGCATCTACCATCAATCTACCAAAGACTTTGTCAAGCATTAAGATAAAAAAAAAAGAATAATAATGTAATTCTTGGTTTGTAAATTATAAAGCTAATTAAAATGAACACATCAGTAATATTTTAGTAATTGTCATTGTTTAATAGAGTGCACTCACCCACACATCCAGCATGCAGAGATCATAGAGCACCCACCCCAGTGAACAGATATCACTACAAAAAAAATATATATATTAAAACACATTACATGAGGGCTAAATTTAAGTGCATTGTTTAAACAGCTAAAGTAGTCAGCATATCATGTAAAGAGTTTGCAATAAATTTCAATATTTAAACTTTCAAAAATCATACCTTTTGGAAGTATATTTGTTTTGTTCAACTTCTGGGCTGTGATAGAGCTCTGCACCTCTAACTGAGCTTGTATAAGGATCTGATCTGAAATAGAAAAATCAATGTAAACTCAAACTGATAAAACTTCAAAAAGATCTTATTATGGATGAACTGAAACATCAGCTGGAAGAGAAACAGGCAGAAATACTTGGCAAATAATTTGAAAGCCAGTCACTTATTAGGGGCCAAACACCACAGGTGCAAATGCACTTCTTGTATCCATTAGTTGTCTTCTTCTTCTTCTTCTCTCCTACTCCAATTTTGGGTCAAATATGGACTATCCCAACTGTTGGGTTAAAAAGTTAATTTAAAAATGTATCCAAAATTTAACCCAACAGCATTTTTTAGAGTGTAGTTTCAACATTAACATTTGGCGTCTCTAACTCAAACCATCTAGCGCCACCAAAAGCTCAACATTTTATTCATGTTTATGCTAATAACTTTTGAAGGTAAATTATATAAAAGCAATTTTTGATTACATGGCTCATGATGAGTCGAAAGCATAACAAAATTACTTTTCATCTTAGACAGTTTGTCTGATTTTCACCAGAATCTTCAGACTATGCTGGAAAAAAGTTATGGAATTCAAGTTAATTTGTCAAACCATTCTTGAAAGACACGCAAAGGAATTTGATGAAGAGCACACACACACAAAAAAATGGACGTGAGGCTATATCTCCGCAATGCTTTAACATATTTAAACCAAACTTCTTGTGTGCCATAAAAAGACATGACCTAAGGATATCCACTGGTCATGAGATATGAAATACATATATTTTACATATATATAACATATGAACGGTTTGGCCAAAAAATACAAGACTGGTCTCTTTAGATTTGGTGCAACATTTCAAGTCAAACGAAATTCCAATTGTTTCCATGTCTGCCATTTTGGGCGTCAGTCATTTTGAATTTTGCTGTAACATGCTATATTTTAAAGTTTTGGGGCAGAAAATATAATGATATTTTAAAAATAAATGCTAATAACTTTTGATTGGTTTTGCCTATTGTCATGTGACTGGTCTTGGTAGATTCCTTGGATCATGCAGAGAACATCAACACCAGTTATGCAGTAATTGGCTGAACTTCCTGTCCACCATTTTGGTTTTCTTTATAAAACCTAATTTTTTGAACTCCTCCTAGACCATTGGTCTGATTTTCACCATATTTGATTCAAATTATTTTCAGACCATGCTGGCAAAAAGTTATGGATTTTGTGATGATAGACAAATCGGTTTTGATTTACCGCCTGAGGAATATCATATCAATGGTATATCACTATCACTATCATAAAGTGATATACCATTAAATCATGTTACTAGTTATTGTATTTATGATTTTCAGCCTTTTTGAATAAAATGATCTTAAAATGTGTTTAATTACTCATTGCTGCAGTTAGTCTGATGTTCCCTGCCATGCTTAGCTCCTTCCTTTGCCTCCGTTGTGCTTGGCCCCTTAATTGCTACTTGCAGCTATATTATATCTATAATTATCACATACATACTTTTTGAAATCTAATAATAACAATTGGTTATTACAAACACAATTAAATTAGATTTTTCAATGTATTTTTAGTCCAGTGTGTCCAGATTTGTAATGTCCAAGAATGTCAATGTCTGTTTAATGTCCGACTATTAGTTTTTTTTTTGTTTTTTTTTACCTTTTCTGCACTTTTGAGTATCCGAAATCCCCTAGATTGATGTAGCCATCTTTAGTCAGAAAAATATTCTACAATGACAACAGAAATATCATCAAATACACACATTTGATTTGGTGACAAATGGTTTAATGAACTTTAGGGCTGTGCAAAAAAATCTAATGCGATTTTCATGCGCATCTCGTCAGTAAAGCCGGTTCTGTGATTAGTAGTAAATCTCCAGCACGTGCTTTCAGATGCAGCGGCATTTACTACACAGAGCCATAGTTCACAGACAAGCTACGCAAAATCACGTTCATAATCGGCAATGAATCGCCTGAGATTTTGAACGTGATTTTGCGTAGCTTGTCAGTGAACTACGGCTCTGTGTAGTAAATGCCGCTCCATCTGAAAGCACGTGCTGGACATTTATTACTAAGCATGAAAATCACATTTGATTGTTTGCACAGCCCTAATGAGCTTTATCAGAGTCTACCTGAGGTTTGATATCTCTGTGAAGAACATTCCTCCTCTCATCATGAATATACTGCAGCGCCAGACAAATCTGAACACACCAGTCAAGAATCTGCACACATATGATACACATGGAGAAAGATGAAAGCATCAATTTATACTCCTAAAAAGATGCATCTTTAAGTCAAGTCACCTTTATTTATATAGCGCTTTTAACAATACAGATTGTGTCAAAGCAACTGAACAGCATTAATTAGGAAAATAGTGTCAATAATGCAAAATGACAATAGTAAACACTAATTTTTCAGTTAAAGACAGTTCATCATTGAATTCAGTGATGTCAACATCCAGCTCAGTTTAAATAATATCTTTGCAATCAAGTTACCTAAAAAGATGCATCTTTACTCTCACAAGGTTGACTTGTGAAAGGCTTTATATTTTTCTGCTGTACAAGGTAGGCTATGCTTCATTAAAAGGTGTGTACTGAATTTGGTCAAAATAGTACATAAGCCACATTAAGTGAACGCTTGATTACGGTGCTGTTGTCAGTTTTTAACAGGCTACTGTCATTTAGTGGTAGCAGGTTTTCTTAGACACCTGTGTGTGGCTCTCAAGCTATTTGTGTGTGGATTGTGCAAAGCTAAAACAGTGAAACGAAAGTCAAAATCCAAATGAATCAAAAAAGGATTGACTCAGAAACGACTCAATGAAGTCGCACACTACGACTCTACACAGACCTCAAACCACGTTTTGTCACAAAAAATATTGTAGAAACTTAATTTGCTGTAAAGTTGCTTTGCAATGATTTGTATCGTGAAAAGCGCTGTACAAATAATAATAAAAAAAAGTTGAACGGGAATGACGTGAAACAAAAAGTGAAACAGGAGTTGTTTATTTGAAAATGTCAGGAATTAATGTTGCAAGCTGTTTGCGCAATGATCTGTTCTGAGAAAAAAAATCGCTCCAAACTTTTCTTAAAGGGGTCAAATGATGCTGCTAAAAAGAACATTATTTTGTGTATTTGGTGTAATGAAATGTGTTTATGCGGTTTAAAGTAAAATAAAAACATTATTTTCCACATACTGTACATTATTGTTTTTCCTCTATGCCCCGCCTTTTTGAAACGCGTCGATTTTTACAAAGCTCATCGGTCTGAAAAGCGAATTGTGCTGTGATTGGCCTGATGACACAGCTTAATGCTCATTGGTTCAAACAATCGTGATGTTGCGTTCTCTTTTAAAAAAAAATATTTATTTATTTTATCTGATATCACGTGATTATGTGTTTATATTATGCACGAACACACAGCACATGAGAGTGAATAACGCGATATCCGCCTTTGATCTCGTAGGTGT